AAAAATATTTTTTGCAGGATAAAACATATTTCAACAAAAACAATAATTTTTCTCCACAAATACTCAGACATACTTCAACACATCCTAATACATTATTTGATGACCAAAATATTTTTAATCATTATGTAAATTATTCAAATTTCAATAATATAAGAGGCGAACATTCTTCACCACCAAGAATGTTAAGAAGAACAAATAAAAGTAAAGAATTAATTAAAGAAGACAAAAATGATTTGAATGATTATTTTAATTTAATTAAAGAAGAAAATTTTAAAAATAAAAATAATTTGAATAATTCACCAATTGAAGAAATGGAACGTTTAGCTGAACAATTAAAATGCTCAAGAAATGGTTATAAACAACAACAACCTCAAAAAATCGTTAAATTTGCTGAAACTGTTGAGGTAATTTAATTAAAAAGTTTAATGAGCTTTTATTTTTTTCAGATCAATGAGATCGAAAAATTTGAAGGCAGCAGTACTTCGAGTAATAACTCGTGTTTGTCTTCTTCATCTTCGACAATTTTTCAACCTGATGATAGTTTTGAGGATGATTTTAATATTTTAAATGGGCAAATATTGGAAGAAGTTCCCTCAAGAATTGAAGAAAGTAAGAGTAATGAGAAAACAGAAAGACTTATGAATGGAACAAGAGAAAGGCAAAGAGGTTTGTTTATTTTTAAAAATTTCTTTGAATTATCTTTTCGATGCTGAGGTAGATAGGACCATCTTTTTTTCGTTTTCCATCAAGTCCCGTTATAATTCCCTACTTTCAGGCAACAAATTCAAATTTTTAAAAATTTTTTAAATGTTTCCCTCTACGCTTTTACTTTTCTTAAGCAAATTTCGGATTTATGAAAGGAACTGGGCAGTCATTCACTCTCCTCCAGAGAGGAGAGTCATTCACTCTTTTCCAACATTAGTTTACTGTTTCTTCACCTTTAGAGTTTATATTAAGTTAAAAATATTTTTTAGACGAAAGACGGTCTTCAACTTCTTCATCTTCTAAATTAAAATCTCCAGATGTAGGACATGTTATTGAACAATTCTTTAATCATTGTCAATCACTTTCTTCAATAAATAAACAACCAAAACAACAACCAAAGAATAATGATCAACAGCAAATTTTGCCTCTATTTAACGACAAAAATGTTGATACTTCCACTAATAATTCTACACCAATTGAACAAAGATCTTTTTATGATAATTTGACCGAAGAAAATGAAGACGAACAAAATAATAAAAAACAAATAACAAAAATAATTATTAAAAATAGCGAAAAGGAAGAAGAATCTCAATCATCTTCAAACAATAATTGGTTACATACAAAAGCTAAAGTGATTGCTCAACAAAATTGTGGACCTCTAGAATGGAGAAGAGATGGATCACCTCGTAGAAGAGTACAAATGTTAATAACTTGTGATAATGATAATAATATTCGAGAAGAAAATTTGAATCTGAAATCGTCAAGGTTATTTTTTATTTTAATTTTTATAAATGAGTCCACCCCAGAAGACTCACACCCTAAGACACAGAAGACCTTCAACTTTTGAAACGGTATAAATATCCAGAGAATTTAATAAAATATTTTACCGGAAAAGTTTTTACAATTTGTAAAATATTTTATTTAATTCCGGAAAAGTTTTTACAATTTGTAAAATATTTTATTTAAGTCCGGAAAAGTTTTTACAATTTGTAAAATATTTTATTTAATTCCGGAAAAGTTTTTACAATTTGTAAAATATTTTATTTAAGTCCGGAAAAGTTTTTACAATTTGTAAAATATTTTATTTAATTCCGGAAAAGTTTTTACAATTTGTAAAATATTTTATTTAAGTCCGGAAAAGTTTTTACAATTTGTAAAATATTTTATTTAATTCCGGAAAAGTTTTTACAATTTGTAAAATATTTTATTTAATTCTGGAAAAGTTTTTACAATTTGTAAAATATTTTATTTAATTCCGGAAAAGTTTTTACAATTTGTAAAATATTTTATTTAAGTCCGGAAAAGTTTTTACAATTTGTAAAATATTTTATTTAATTCCGGAAAAGTTTTTACAATTTGTAAAATATTTTATTTAATTCCGGAAAAGTTTTTACAATTTGTAAAATACTTTATTTAATTCCGGAATAGTTTTTACAATTTGTAAATATTTTTTTTAATTCCGGAAAAGTTTTTACAATTTGTAAAATATTTTATTTAAGTCCGGAAAAGTTTTTACAATTTGTAAAATATTTTATTTAATTCCGGAAAAGTTTTTACAATTTGTAAAATATTTTATTTAATTCCGGAAAAGTTTTTACAATTTGTAAAATACTTTATTTAATTCCGGAATAGTTTTTACAATTTGTAAATATTTTTTTTAATTCCGGAAAAGTTTTTACAATTTGTAAAATATTTTTTTAATTCCGTATTTTTTTACAATTTGTAAAATCCGAAAAACCGAAAAACTGACCCCTTTTAAATATTTTTAAAAATAATTTTTTAGTATTCCTTTAAATTCAACCCAACGAAGAAAACAAGAAACAGTAATAATTCCTTCAACAGAACCTAATAATACAACAAAATTGTCGCGCATTCCTTTCAGCAATAATTCTGTAACAACTTCAACTTCTTTTGTTAATAATACCATAACAAAACATTTACCTAGACAAAATGTTCATCAAATACTTATTAATGGAGGAGGAGATTGTTCTGAAGTACAAAGAAATAAAAAAATTAAAAATCAATCTATAATTGTTAAAACAAAAAATAGGCAAAATTGGCCTTCAAATTATTAATTTTTAATTTATTAATTCCAAAATTCCGATGCCCGTTTATTCCAATTTCAACTCCTCCCAAGTTTTAGCGTGCCTTAAATTCCTTTATTTGGTTAAGGTTTTAATCTTGTAAACATAGTTCCCGGTCATTAAAATATTCCCAACTTTTATACAATCTTTTAATTAAATTTTTGTATGATTTTTTTATTTTTTAGAGCTTTTATTCTGTTTTTTTTCTTTTGTTGTTCTAAAAATAAAGTTTATATTTTTAAATATTTTGTCAAGAGCTGATTTAAATAAATTCAGTTTTATATTTTTAAAATTAAATGGCGAGAAGAGAGAAGGAATGGATCACCTCGTGGAAGTGTGGAGATGTTAATAACTTGATTGTGAGCTTCAAAGTAATTTTTTGATTTTAATTTTTTAAAATATTTTTTTTTCAAAAATTTTAGTGTTTAGGAGTCTGAAAGGCATCTGTCGTTGGAATCATTCATAAGTGGAGGTTATATTTTCTTTTAAACCATAAATTTATTTTTAATAAATAAAGGATGTCACCTGTTGTTTATACCAAAATTCAACCCAGAAAGGATTTGTTTCTTCTCGTTTTCTGGCAAGCAATTGATTCGTACATTCTTTTTTAGTTCAATATCTAAAATCTGGCAATGAAAATATTTGGTAACAAATGTCGGCAGGTTTGCACTTTTTTCTTTCTTCTATTTATTTCTCATGTTCCAATAATCTTTAAAAAGCCCTCTTTTATCCGCCTTTTTATTAGATTTATAGTAGTAATTGAACAATTATAAATTAAAAATTGAACACATTTTTTGTTACAAGTTTTTAATTAGATAAAACCCAATTTTGTGCTTCTAATTGTTTCAAATTTAGAATAAACGCAACAATTTCCTCAACAGACCCTCATTTCCTTCTGCAATTGGTTTACTAAACAACTTGAATTTAATTGAACTTCTTTCTTAAAATCCTTCATATAATATTTGTTACCAATGGTTATGATAGCAGGACAAGTGCAAGGACTCCTGCAGAAATTTAAACACGATTTTAAGTCATTGGTATGTTTTATTTTTCTCATTTGCACTGCCCGTTCTTTACTACTGTCAATTTAGTAGAAAGAAAAGGGAATAAGTGGAATAATTATTGAGAGCAAGTATGATCCGGTGTGGTCTAGTGGTTAGGATCCGTGGTTTTCACCCACGTGGCCCGGGTTCGATTCCCGGCACCGGAATCAAATTTTTTCTTTCACTCAAATTTATTTTAAAATAGATTTGAGATGATTTATTATCTTTTTGATCAAATTATAATTTTTTTAAATTAATTTTTTCAACTTTTTTTCATTATTTTTTAATTTAACAAAAATTATTTTTAGATTCCCATCTTCGTTTTATGCATTTATACAATTATTGGTGCCATAATTTTTATGTTGATAGAAGGACCAAATGAGGAATTCGAATTGAATAAATTAAAAACGCAAAGGGATTTATTATTAAAGGTTTTTTAAAATTTATTTTAAAAATAAAAATTTAATTTTGTGTAGAACACAGCTTACAGATTAAATACAATAAAATCAATGTCACCGACCAGAGTATAATATTTTTAAAAATAAATTTTAGTAAACATTTTATAATTTTTTTAAATTTAGGCATATAACCACACAATTAATACACTAATTTATTATCGTGAAAAACTTGGTGTGCATGAAATTAATTTAAATGAAACGAAATGGACAATATGGGGAAGTATTTATTTTTCTATGACTGTTTATACAACAATTGGTTATGGAAATATTGTTCCAATTACAACAACGGGGCGAATATTAACAATTATATATGCGCTTATTGGGTATTGTTTTTTAATTAAATTAGTTTAATAAAAAAAATGAAAATTATGCCGATTTTGATTAATTTGCCAAATTTAAATGATAAAAATTTTAAAAAAATTTAAAAAAATACACGCTCCCGGGTGGGCTTGAACCACCAACCTTTCGGTTAACAGCCGAACGCGCTAACCAATTGCGCCACGGAAGCTGTTAGGTGGCTGTCACTTTTTATTCAATATGATGAATAATTTTATTGAGTAGTACAGTAAATTTTAGTAAATAAAATATTTGATATTAAGTAAAAACGAAATTTTAATTATTTTAAATTTAACCTTTAAAATTAAATTTAAATATTTTTTTTTAATTAAAGAATTCCTTTGGCCTTGTTTGCTTTGATTGCCCTAGGAGGAATGTTCGCAAGAATTTGTTTGCTTGTTTGGAGACTTATTGGTAGAATGTTAGGATGTTTTTCAAAGAATTTGGAAAGAAAGGTTTATAAAATTTTTAAAAATTTAATAATATAATTTAAAAGATGACTATTGCGACTGAAAGTGATCAACATTTGGAACGAGAAAAGGGTTCAGAAGAAGGTACTACAACTACTGATTCTGGAGATGATTCTAATGATGAATTATTACAGGTTTATAAATTAAATAAAATGAAGGGAGAGAACCCCTAAAGTTCCCTCTTCCTTTTTTTATTTGCGCATTAATTTCCCATAAATTATTTCAAGTTCCCAATTTGGTTTTTGATTGCAGTTACAATTATTTGGATTCTATTATGTGCTTATTTGTTTCTACTTTGGGAAGATACTTGGAATTATGGTTTGAAAAGAGGATTTTAATTGTGAATTTTTAAAATTTAAAGGTCTTTCGCTTTATTTTGTGCTGATCTCATTCCTCACCGTTGGCTTTGGTTTGTATAAATTTTAAAACTTATTTCTAGTACCAAAAGAAATATTTTTATAGGTGATGTAATCCCATCAAAATCAAATTATATAATTCTTGTTGGTATAATGCTACTAATTGGACTTGCATTAGTATCTACAATGCTAACAATTATCCAAAAACAAATCCATGCATTAGCTGATGATGTTCGTGGAAAAATAGACAAAGATTATCAAAAAGCATTGGTTGATGTTGGTGGTTATGAAGGAGGGGATGGAGGTTATGAACAACCTATTGAACCAATTGATGGAAGAGAATCTGTAGCTTTAGAACAAGGACCTGAAAGTAAATTTAAATTGAGATAAAGGGAAAAATAATTTTTTTAGAAAAGGGAGATAAACGCACATTAGACGCAGTGGTTGCAAGAATGCCGTGGCGTTCGAGAATGCTTTACCATGTAATGTCTTCAGGTAAAATTTTAAATAATTTAATTAAAATTAGCTAATTTTTAGATAACAAAAAACAATTAATAAAGCATGTAAAACGAAGACAACGAATTGGAACAAAATGGGTTCAGACTGACCCATATCTTTTAGATTCGGTTTTGCCTGTTCATCAGAGTGCCAATTTCTGAAAAATATGTTTAAAGAAGGAGATTTTTGTAAAATACAGAGAATGTAATATGAAATGGATGGAAAAATAAGTAAATGAAAGGTTTATAAATTTTCTTAAAATTATGTAAATATCAGAATTCTTCACGATTATATTGTTTTTAGAAAAATATTAGGTAAAATATATAAAAGATTTTTAAATGGGTTTCGTAAATATTAAACAAGACTGTTGGCTGAATTAAGGTCCGACAATTTTTAGCATTTATAATCACTCTGATTTTCTTCTCAAATAATTCATTCTGACATTCCCCTTGAAGGTTTAAAAAACTGGTTTTTTATTTAATTTATTAATTTAACATTTTTTAATCGAGTTTAAAAGGAAATTATAAAAGTAAAAAAGGCGTGATTGAGTGAGAGAACAGATTTCATCAGTGAAAAGCGGATATACTTAATAAATAGTTTATTAATATATAAAGAATAAAATTATGAAAATAATAGAAAAATATTTATAAAAGAGAAAGGGGTCCGACAATTTTTAGCTTTTAATATAATTTGTGTTGGTTTCTTCCGCTTAATTGCTTTTTAGAGGTTTGCTTTAAGTGATTCTTTTTTAAATATTAATCTTTTTTATAGGCTTTTTATTGCTGTGATCCAATTTTAATGACTCTAATGAAGTGAACTTTTTTGGAAATGCGAGGATATGGTATGAAATAATTTTCAATTTTGAGGTACAGTTTGGAAGTTTACATAATGACAACGCCTTAAAGAGCAACACAATTCCTTTTTGTACAAATTTATTAATTGGAGATAGCTGACAACCCCTCGCTGCCCTACAAAAATTAACTGTTTAATTTGTTAGCGCTCTATTTTCTTTATTATTCAGTTATTGGTTTAACCCAATTGTGAATATTTACTGATTGCAACAAATCATTTAAAAACAAAAATACTTTTATCAGAACCCAAAAAATGTCAAAAATACTTTCAACATCTTCGCTAAATTCTACTCCAATTTGTGCAATAATTCGTCATTTATACAAAAATTCACCTTCAATTCTTCGATTGTTTTATGTGGCACAAACTTTGGGAGCCTTTATCTCATTAATCGCATTAGCTTTTGGAATGTTGCAGTTATGTACTAAACAACCAATTCAACTACCTATTAGTTCGCTTTTAATGATGCTTAATTTATGTGTTGCTTTGTTACTTGCTAATGTTGGTATGTTAAGATTGACTAAAATATTTTTTTAAATTTTTTTATTAAATCCAATTTTTTATTAAATTTAGGTGTTGCTTTATCTTCTCTCTATAATTTGCATGTACCTCTAATTCGTGCACCATCTTCACATTGTTATTGGCTTAGTTTTTCATTCATTGACTGTTTAGGTATGCTTATTTTCTTGATTTCTGAATAATTTTTTTAATTTTTAAGCAATTCGAACACTTTTAAATGTTTCAATATTCGCTACTTATATGGCTGGGGCCTGTTTAGCCCTTGAAAGAATGGCTGGTTCACTTCTCTATATTCGTAGGACAAAGTCTAAAAGAGCTATTGCAATCTTTTTGGTTATTTTACAGGTAATATTTTTTTTAATTTGCTTATTTTAAATTTAATTTTCAGTGGTTAATCTCAATTTTTGTTGCTATTCCTCCAATTTTATCTTCTTCAACTAATCCAGCAACACTTGTATCTCCTCATTGTGCTCTTTTAACTCCTTCCCCAACACAAACAAGGCCTTTATTCTTTGCGATTCTTGGAATTCATGCCCTTGTTTTGGCCATTTATTCAATTTTAACATATCATCATCATTTTGATCCACAGGTTTTATTTTAATTTAAAATAAATCTAAAATCTCATTTCTATTAAGATCGCAGTTGAAGTTACTCGCCAAAATCCACTAGTTCTTGAACAAGTACATTCAACAGAACAAACATTACCTGCTGCGGCTACAACTGTTGGATTATTTATATTGAGTACTTTATTAGATAGACAATTTTTGATAGCGTTAGCTAATTCTTTTGGTTTTGGAGGAATAGAAAAAATGGATGAACGTTCAATATTGATAGCCTTAAACAGAAATAAAAGGCCAGAAATGAAAGTTGAAGTTTTAGCTGAAGGAATATTTAAAGTTGCGTTTTGGAGTGAATTTCAGGTATATTTTTACTAAGCTTTGAAATAAAAACTAAATTTTTAGACTTTGGCTATTCCTTTCATAAGTCTAATATTGGTGGTTGTTCTCCAGGCTCAAGTATGTTCACAAAGAATTGCTCAAGAAGAAATTTATGAACGTGTTGGAGGTGCAGCTGATAATAAGTCCGGACAATCGTGATCTATATTTATTTGGCTTATCTTTTTTCATAATTTATATATCAATTCAAAGCTCTTGATATTCAGATTATATTTTCCAATAGAACTGAAAAGATCCAATCATTCCTCAAGAAGTTATCATCTGTTAAGTCCGGAAAATCGAGATTCCTATTTTTATTGATTCCTACCTTTTTTGAACTTCATCTTTTCTCATGATTTATACGTCGATCGAAAGCTCTGGGTCTGCTGTTTCTTATTACTAATGGACTGATAGGATCCGTTAAGTCCATAACGAGTTATCAGCTGTTAGGTTCGAAAGATCGTGACTTCCGATTTTACTGGGGCATCTTTTTTCGTTTAAATATTGAAACACATTATTAAATATGTATGTATTTTCATTGATTATAAATAAATTAATATATCTGTATTCCGATTATTCCATTTTAATTGATAACAAAGGATAAAAGTAGTTTTAATGTTGGAAAAGGAAAATATTGTTATAATAAATTTGAGATTTGTTAAAATTCAAAAATTTGCATACTTTTGGCGTAGTGTAACTCGATGCCAAAAAATGACATTTTATCCTACTTTTTGAGAAGGATGTTTGAGTATCAGTCATTTGAGTCTGACTGATTTCAACATTTAAAATTCTGCTCTCTTGTGGCGTAACGTTACTAAATGATATTTCATCCCCAAAGTTAGAGAAATTAAAAAGAAATAGTTTAGTTAGAGAAAAAAATTAATATAAAATTTTATGGTCGGTTCAGTGCTACGATTCGAGAGGGAAATGGAAAAGTAAAAAATAAATAAATCAATATCAATCGATAAAATCGATATTCCTAAATTTGTAAAATTTTGTATTTTCAAAAAATCGATACTAATCGATAAAATCAATACCAATCGATAAAATCGATATTCCTAAATTTGTAAAATTTTGTATTTTCAAAAAATCGATACTAATCGATAAAATCAATATCAATCGATAAAATCGATATTTCTAAATTTGTAAAATTTTGTATTTTCAAAAAATCGATACTAATCGATAAAATCAATATCAATCGATAAAATCGATATTTCTAAATTTGTAAAATTTTGTATTTTCAAAAAATCGATACTAATCGATAAAATCAATATCAATCGATAAAATCGATATTTCTAAATTTGTAAAATTTTGTATTTTCAAAAAATCGATACTAATCGATAAAATCAATATCAATCGATAAAATCGATATTACAAAATTTGTAAAATTTTGTATTTTCAAAAAATCGATACTAATCGATAAAATCAATATCAATCGATAAAATCGATATTACAAAATTTGTAAAATTTTGTATTTTCAAAAAATCGATAAAATCAATATCAATCGATAAAATCGATATTCCAAAATTTTTAAAATTTTGAATTTTTAAAAAATCGATACTCATCGATGAAATCAATACTAATCGATAATTTATTTTTTACTTATTTCAAATTTTCGAAAAATTCGATAGTCCATTAAATTTACATACTTGTAAAACTCAAACAAAATGGCAAAAAATAAATTCAATTTATCTTCAAAAAATAAAATAAAAGACAAATAAATAATACTTTTTATTCTTTTTAGACCTCTCATTCGAACTGAAGGAGTAACCAATCTATAAAAATAAAAATTAATTACATTTAAATTGAAGAAAAAGGCTATTAGCACGTTTTGTTTGAACCATAAAAACTTATTTCCGTTGGTGGGATTCGAACCCATGCCCATAAGATAGCATACCCGAAACTACTACCAGTTAAACCACAGAGACATATTATGGGGTAATGAACTTTTATCGACTATAAGGAAAGCATCAAAAGGGGTACCCGAATCCTTCCAACGGTAATCCTTTTAAAAAATCTAGTAAACCTAAAATTAATAACAAGGAAAAAACGAACCACTTCACATTCTAGTATTGCTTTACATATTCAATTGATCCATCAAATGTTGGTAGTCGTGTTCTTTATCTAAATTAAAAAAAATATTAAATAGAAAGACTATTTTAACTGCAAAGGGGTTAATCTTTTCTCTCATTGAATGATACTCTCATTAAATGATGCCACAGGGAAAATTGAAAAAAACGAGGAAGGAAGAACCTTTGACCATTCCGTGGAAAAATGAGTCCGCATAAAATGTCCGCAAAACTACTTTGGGATAACCAATAAGTACCGTTTGGTGTAATTCGATTCAGCTCGACGAGCTTTTTCGAACGACACACAATTTGTCGAAATCGGGTGGGCCAACAAAAAACACCCTACATCAAGGGAAGCAACTGAACGGAGATTTAAACATTGATAACGGGATTTTTTTAATTAGTAGGTTTTAAAAAGGGACAAACTGGAATTAATAGACGAAAAATTGTGGAAACCAGATAATCAAACCAATCAATTAGAATAATTTACAAACCTAATTTGCTGAATTCCAACGAAAGATTGCAGTTCTTCAGTGATTTTCTCTGCTGATTCTTGTTCTTGTAAAGCATACTCATCAAAAGACGGTCTTGCCGCAACAATTCACCGGCCTAAAAAATAATCTTGAAACAATAGTAAACAATTAAAAATAACCTCTTAAGAAATTTTTACAGCTTCTGGATACTCTCTCAAAGCTAAAAATTAAGTAATTGAAAAACTCTTAAAAATAAAAACAACCTATAAAAAAATCAACCATTCAAAACATGCAAATCATTGCATCTAACCAATGGAACATCTGCTGTACGTCTTCTCATTTGACAAGAACTTGGCAACTGTTTAATTGGCTTTAACATTGGGAAAGGATATAGGGAGAAACCTTGCGGACAAAACTTGCGGATATTTAATAAAGTGAAAAAACAAACCATGTTGACGAGAGCATTGGAATTTAATCGTTGCAGATTGCCCAAATATCGCCGAAGCGACTCCGGGACTTTTGCCCAAATATCGCCGAAGCGACTCCGGGGCTTTTGCCCAAATATCGCCGAAGCGACTCCGGGACTTTTGCCCAAATATCGCCGAAGCGACTCCGGGGCTTTTGCCCAAATATCGCCGAAGCGAATCCTGGGCTTTTGCCCAAATATCGCCGAAGCGACTCCGGGACTTTTGCCCAAATATCGCCGAAGCGACTCCGGGGCTTTTGCCCAAATATCGCCGAAGCGACTTCGGGACTTTTGCCCAAATATCGCCGAAGCGACTCCGGGGCTTTTGCCCAAATATCGCCGAAGCGAATCCTGGGCTTTTGCCCAAATATCGCCGAAGCGACTCCGGGACTTTTGCCCAAATATCGCCGAAGCGAATCCTGGGCTTTTGCCCAAATATCGCCGAAGCGACTCCGGGACTTTTGCCCAAATATCGCCGAAGCGACTCCGGGGCTTTTGCCCAAATATCGCCGAAGCGACTCCGGGACTTTTGCCCAAATATCGCCGAAGCGACTCCGGGACTTTTGCCCAAATATCGCCGAAGCGAATCTGGGGCTTTTGTTGTTGCTGCTGCTGAGGTTGTTGCTGCTGCTGAAGTTGTTGCTGCTGCTGTTGTTGCTGCTGTTGCTGAAGTTGTTGCTGCTGCTGTTGTTGCTGCTGCTAAAAATTGGATACATTTTTCAAAAATTGAAAAAAGCAAGTCTTGTCCGCAAGTCATTATAACCTCCCCCTCAAAAAGGTTAACCACAAAAAAAAGGAAAAACCACGCTCCAAGTTGTAGAACATCTTTGCTGTAGCACAGAGAACACTAGATGAGTCATTGAAAATCGATTATTGATTTTGGGATGAAGTGTCATTTATTCTTAATTTTTTGCATTATGCCAAATAGCGCAGATTTTTGAATTCTGAAACGAATATACTAAACGGTAAAAAGGTATAGCGGTTTCAAAACCGATTTATGGACTTCTAGTCATTGTTCTATTAAATTTAAAATAAAAAATGAAAGATAGAGCAAGAATGTCAATAAATGAAGTCTCTATACACTGACATTGTTTTAGCCATTTTAGAGCAAATAGACTTCGGATCAGAAATGCGGACCAAATAAACGTCGTTATATAGTGATTCCATTGTAAAAACAAAGAAAAAAATAACAAAAACAAATATTAATCCTCTTGTTTATTAGCCATTTCTTTCTCCTCTATCTTCTTATCTGCTTGAGCTTTTCTAGTCAATAACCACCATGTCAAGCTAGGAGATAACCATCTAAGCATAACCAAAAGTCGAATTTTGAATGGAGCTAATATCAATTCTTTTTCACGATTTTCCAACGAAGAGATAATTCTTTTGGCTGCTTCTTCTGGACTAATTCCTTTTAATTGATTGTGATCTTCAAATCCCATGGGTTTTCCATCAACATTCAAAGCGTGAGAGCCAAAGCCTGTCTAAATTATTTGGGATTTTAAATGTTTTCTAGAGGTTATCTTAAAAATATCAGGAATGGACGGTTAGTTTAATAAAATAAATTTCCATGAACTTTCAAAAAAATTCAAGAGACAGGGCCCAGGTTTATTAAATTAATAAAAAAAACCTCACATTAACATATCCAGCATTAACATTCAAAATATGCAAGTTCGGTCTTTCTTCTCCCCTCAAACTATCAAAAAGTGCCAAAGAAGCATGTTTAGAACAAGAATAGGGAGCTCTACAAGGAAGAGCAACTAAAAGTTTAAAAAAACGTTTTTAAAAGTTAATATCAAAAGAATGTTTTACCCCGTCCTTGAATACTATTAATGTTAATAATTGCTCCATCATCCGGAATAAATTTTAGGAGAGTTTTGATAATGTAAATAAATCCAAAAAAGTTGACCTATAATTTTAAACTTTCAAAAAAATTTAAAATAGAAATGAACCCACCCTTGAAGACTTATACAAACTCACTGCCTATTGACTCTGAAGACCTACAACTTTTAAAAAAGATTAAGAGGGATGCCGGAGACATCGATGGATTTGTGGTTATATGTATAATAAAGAACTGGGTACTGGTAATAAAGAAGAACTGGTAATAAAGAACTGGTATAATAAAGAACTGCTACTAACCTTTCAACGTTGTCATTAAATTTTCAAACTCGTTCAAGAAAAATTATGAAAAGATAAAAGAAGGCACCAACACTTCTACACCGAATCATTAAAAAAATAAAAAAACCTTCTTGTAAAATTCAAAAGCCATTGCCCTTCCAATACCAGAACTAGCACCAATTATAACAATAGATTTGTCTTTTAAATTAAATTTGGAATGATGGGCATTGTAGAGATAAGCCATAAATTTGTAAATTCCCCAAAGTCCAAAAGCTGTAGAAATAAATTTTAAGTAAAAATTTGTTGCAAATTTGTTTTGAAAATAAAGTAATTGATCCATTAATTTGTTCTAAAAGAAAGCAAAAATGAGTCCACTCCCGAAGACCTACAACTTTTGAAAAGGAATATCAAAAAGGAATGTAGAGGGATTCAACCAGAGTACACATTCACAATACCCATAAAGCTCATGTCAACTCGACGCTTTTTCGAACGGCATACAATTTGTCTAGATCGGGTGGGCCAACAAAAACACCCTACAAGTCACAATACTCAAAGGAAGCAACTAAACGGAGATTTAAACATTGATAACGGGGATTTCTTTAAATTAAGTTTTAAAAAGTGGCAAAACTTAAATTAATAAATGAAAAATTGTGGAAACGAAATAAACTAATTAATTAATTTCCAAACCTAATTTTCTGAATTCTAACAAAAGATTGGAGTTCTTCAGTCATTTTTCTGCTGATTCTTGTTCTTCTAAAGCATACTCATCAAAAGACTGTCTTGCCGCAACAATTCACCGGCCTAAAAAATAATCTTGAAACAATAGTAAATAATTAAAAATAACCTCTTAAAAAATTTTTACAGCTTCTTGATACTCTCTCAAAGCTAAAAATTAAGTAATTGAAAAACTCTTAAAAATAAAAACAACCTATAAAAAAATCAACCATTCAAAACAAGCAAATCAATGCATCTAGCCAAATTTGCTGTACGTCTTCTCGTTTGACAAGAACTTGGCCACCATTTAATTGGCTTTATCATTGGGAAAGGATAAACTTATTTAAGGGAGTAACTTTGCGGACAAAACTTGCGGATATTTAATAAAGTAAAAAAGCAAACCATGTTGACGAGAGCATTGGAGTTTAATGAAGTGAAGTCATCGCCCATATTTCGCCGAAGCTAACATGGGGCTTTTGCCCATATTTCGCCGAAGCTAACATGGGACTTTTGCCCATATTTCGCCGAAGCTAACATGGGGCTTTTGCCCATATTTCGCCGAAGCTAACATGGGACTTTTGCCCATATTTCGCCGAAGCTAACATGGGGCTTTTGTTGTTGCTGCTGCTGAAGTTGTTGTTGCTGCTGCTGAAGTTGTTGCTGCTGCTGTTATTGCTGCTGCTGCTAAAAATTGGATACGTTTTTCAAAAATTGAAAAAAAGCAAGTCTTGTCCGCAAGTCATTATAACCTCCCCTCAAAAAGGTTAACCCCAAAAAAAAAGAAAAGCCAAGCTCCAAGTTGTAGAACATCTTTGCTGTAGCACAGAGAACACTAGATGGGGACACGCCCAAGTAGGCGCACGGCCAAGTAGGCGCAAAGGCATAACTAGCTTGAAACTTTCTGGACCTTAACAATTTTGGTATCAATCTCTTTAGCTCGATGAGAGGAATCGTTTAATACTAAATTTTGGAAGATTCGAAAATCCTGAAGCAAGTTATGGCTTTGCGCCTACTTGGCCGCGCGCCTACTTGGGCCGTACCCCACTAGATGAGTCATTGAAAATCGATTATTGATTTTGGGATGAAGTGTCATTTACTCTTAATGTTTTGCATTATGCCAAATAGCTCAGATTTTTGAATTCTGAAACAAATATACTAAACGGTAAAAAGATATAGCGGTTTTAAAATCGATTTATGGACTTCTAGTCCATTGTTCTATTAAATTTAAAATAAAAAAATGAAAGATAGAGCAAGAATGTCAATAAATGAAGTCTCTATACACTGACATTGTTTTAGCCATTTTAGAGCAAATAGACTTCGGATCAGAAATGCGGACCAAATAAACGTCGTTATATAGTGATTCCATTGTAAAAACAAAGAAAAAAATAACAAAAACAAATATTAATCCTCTTGTTTATTAGCCATCTCTTTCTCCTCTATCTTCTTATCTGCTTGAGCTTTTCTAGTCAATAACCACCATGTCAAGCTAGGAGATAACCATCTAAGCATAACCAAAAGTCGAATTTTGAATGGAGCTAATATCAATTCTTTTTCACGATTTTCCAACGAAGAGATAATTCTTTTGGCTGCTTCTTCTGGACTAATTCCTTTTAATTGATTGTGATCTTCAAATCCCATGGGTTTTCCATCAACATTCAAAGCACGGGAGCCAAAGCCTGTCTGATTAAATTAATTGGGATTTAAAGTGTTTTCTAGAAGTTATCTTAAAAATAGCAGGAATGGGCGATTAGCTTAATAAAAAAATTCCACAACAATCAAAAGTTAAAGAGATAAGCCCCGATTTTTAAATTAATAAAAAAAACCTCACATTAACATATCCAGCATTAACATTCAAAATATGCAAGTTCGGTCTTTCTTCTCCCCTCAAACTATCAAAAAGTGCCAAAGAAGCATGTTTAGAACAAGAATAGGGAGCTCTATAAGGAAGAGCAACTAAAAGTTTAAAAAAACGTTTTTAAAAGTTAATATAAGAAATGTTTTACCCCGTCCTTGAATGCTATTAATGTTAATAATTGCTCCATCATCCGGAATAAATTTTAGGAGAGTTTTGATAATGTAAATAAATCCAAAAAAGTTGACCTATAATTTTAAACTCTTCAAAAAAATTTAAAATAGAAATGAACCCACCCTTTAAGACTTATACAAACTCACTGCCTTATCTCAATAGAGCTAGGACTTATCTTATTTAATCCCTCAATATTCTCTTTCAATAATTGTGGGTCTTCAGAGTTAACCCCATAATTACTCTAATATTTAAAAAAATAAAAATAAACCTCCATTAATTCTCGGAAAATATCAATTTTTGTTTTTTCAATAGATCCTCTATTTGAAAGTCCAGCAGAACAGACTAAAACATCAACAGTTTTTCTATCATCAATTGAATGGTCGAGTAATTCCAAAATTTTATTTTTGTAATTTTCTTCTTCTAAATTGACAAATTCAGTAATATCTAATTGATAAAAAGTTGGGTTATGGAAATTATTAAATTGTTGCTTTTGGTCTTCAAGTTCTTTACAAAGTAATTCTAATTTGTCAACACTTCGAGCAACAAGAACTAATTTTGCACCCTGAAATATTATGCTTTAATTGTGAATGGAAAGATAGACCGGGGGAAGTGTAATTGGAGATCCCCAATTTTTAATAATAAAGAGAACGAAGAAGATGCCCAAAAAGTGAAAATTTTTGCAAGACTACACCCCAAATATAAGACTGAAGACCGATGTGAGAAACCCACAAGAAAGTCTTACGCCTTTCAAGACCAAGATCTTAGACTTAACTAGAAACTGGCATGCTGCTGCATCACACAGCGTAAAAAGGACGCTACTAACCTTTCAAGCCTGTCAATAAATTTTCGAACTCGTTAAAAGAAAAATTATAAGATAAAAGGAGGCACCAACCCGACCACACCGAATCATAGAAAAATAAAAAAAACCTTCTTATAAAATTCAAAAGCCATTGCCCTTCCAATACCAGAACTAGCACCAATTATAACAACAGTTTTGTCTTTTAAATTAAATTTGCAGTGACGAGCATTGTAGAGATAAACCATAAATTTGTAAATTCCCCAAAGTCCAAAAGCTGTAGAAATAAATTTTAAACAAAAATTTGTTGTAAATTTGTTTTGCAAATTAATTAATTGATCCATTAATTTATTAGAATATATGGCTCTAAAAGAAAGCAAAAAATGAGTTCATCTCTGAAGACCTACAACTCTTGAAAGGGAATATCAAAAGAGCATGTCTAGGGATTTGGTGTGATTGAAGAGGATAGAGATCTCTACTCAACCAGAGTACACATTCACAAAACCCATAAAGCTGGGTATCCCTCTAAATCCTCTCGATATTTCCTTTCAAAATCTGTAGGTATTCAGGGTAAACAACGCAAAAATTAAACAAAAAAAGAAGAATAAAAAATTTAAAAATATATAAAAAGTTAAAAACTAAGCAAGTATAAGCATTAAAAAAATTAAAGCATTTATTTAATTCGTATAAGAATACAAAATTTATATGAATCGACTAATTAAAAATTATGCGTTCTTAAATTTAAAATTAAAAAAAAATATTTGGAAAGACGAACTGGTCCGAATCACATACAAATATTCAAAAAAAAACGTTTAAGATTATGCTTCTTATATAATAATTAAAAAGAAAACCTTCTGAATAAAATGTTAGAAAAAAATGATTTTTCTTTCAATGATTTAATGCCTTCCAAATAAGTGATTTTGCAGCTTTTCGTTTTTTTCCTTCCAAATTAATTCTAGCTGGAGGAGCATATTTCTTTAATACTTTTTGAAAACGAAATTTTAATCCACAACAACCATCATTTTCTGTCTATAAAGATTTTTAAATTTTTTAGTTATAGAAAAAGTGCTTTAAAAACTAGGGTAGGTCCCTGATCCGTTGAGGAGAACGTTTTCGAGAAATAACAAGTCAGAAAATGACCTAGAATAATTGGCGGCCGGGCCGTGTAGAGAGAGGACAACCCTTAAAAACTAATTCAGAAAATTTTTCCCCGTCAAAAATCATCTCAAAAATTTTGAAAATTCTCAAAACCTTAGGAAACTCAAAACTCCTCACAAAAAATTTTTTTATAAAAAAAACAAACCTCTTGTATTGAAATAAAATATTGTAAAATTCCATTTTCAATAAACCAATTCAAAAATAGACGAGTTTCTGAACACGGATGTGCTCTAGCAAATAATTTTCGATTTCTAGCAGTTAAAATATCTTGTCCAAAAGAGCGATAATGACCAAATAATTTTGCATAAAAAATCATAATTTTCTAAAGAATAAAATTAAAAAAAGATATTTTTTAAAAATAAATTAACCTTTTCAATTCTATAATCAGCCTTTTCTGCATCCTTAATTGGAATACAAGATTTTAATGCTCCAAGAAGTTCACAAACAGCTGCACGTGGAAATCCTATTAATTCTGTTTGTTCTAACAAAGCTTTTAATCCAATTTTTTGTTTGTTTTTTGGTCTAGAGATTGGAGGAACAATTATTCCCATTTCTACATCAAATAATATAATATCATCATTTAATGTATTGTCATCTGGTGAGAAAGATGAATCATTTTGTGGAACAATTAATTCAGAGATTCGGCTAAGGTTGTATCTATTGAAAAAAAAAAGTTGGAAAAATTAAAAATAAAGTTCCTTATTAGAAAAGAGTAACGAGGAAAACTTAGTTTCTCCACTAGAGCCGTCCAAGCTTCATCACTCGATTTTTCTTAAGGGTTTTCGATCTTGGACTTGAGTTTTGGGGTCCTTGAGACTTGGGGTGCATGTCTTGAGTCAAGATTCAAGACCAAGAGCCCTGACAGCTCTGTATCGGTCTTAAACCTTGGAAAATTTTCGGTCCTGAACAGCTCTGTTCACTACCCAAAAATTAAGACCTAATCTACATGACCGATTTTTAAGTTTAAAAAGAATAACCTTAATAATCCATAAATATAAGGGGTTGGATTTTGGCAATATTCAATTTGAGAATCAGGTAAAATAGGAATAAGTCCATGAGGCCATTCAAGTGGAGCCAAAAGACGAACTAATGCATGTACAGCTTGTGAAACATCAGTGACCTTTAAATTCGAAGAATTAATCCTTTAAAAATATATTAGAAAAATTTACATTGGATCCTGTGATAATAATTCTCCTTTCTGCCAACATATTCAAAAAAATAAAAAGAGCATTTTCCATGCCAATTTTTTTGAGAATAGTACTCATATGTGAACGAGTCCATTGCTGGCGTCCATATTCATCTCTAACAATATATTTTGCTTTTGCATCAAAAGATTCTGAAAACCAATTATAATTGAGAAAATAATACAAAGAAACCTGAAGTTGTAAGTCTTAATTGAAGCAAATCTCTGCACATTGACAATAATCTAGCATTATCTCTTTGGAAGGCTAATACCAAATCAGCAGCTAATTCACTAAAATAGCCTTCATTGGGATATGGAGAAATTAGAACAAGAACGGAAAGACCTGTAAAATATTGGAGTTTGGCTAGTGAATTTTTAAAATTTAACAAAAAATTAATGCTTATAAGATAAAAACCAAAATTATCTCAAAAAAGGTCCTTAAACAATAAATGACAGTTAAATCGAAGGAATCTAACCGGGCTAATTTTAAATGGTAAAAGCTAAAACACTAACTACACAAATAAAAAACGTAATAAACCTGTAAATATTCTATTGTCCAATGTACTGATGCCACTATCTGTTGAAATTATTGAACTATGTTGAGGTAATGTAGGGAATTTAAAGCAAAAAGCAAATGTACTAAAATAATTTTTAGCAAAAAATTTTAAAAAAATCCAAACCGTTCTGCTTTGTCATTTGTAAGCACAACTTGATAAGTTTCTCTTTCCTCCCTTCTTTGAACTGTGCCCTTCATAAAATCAGGGTAAAATAGTTGAGGAGGAAAATTAGAAGCATTTGAACCCATTGGAGGATATCTTTAAATTAAAAAATATTTTTAGACTTTTAAAGAAATATTACGCAAAATCCACAGAAGGAATTGAATCAATATTTGAATTATTTACACAGGAACATTCAAATTCAGTCGCTTCACTTCTAAAAATAAAATTTATATGTTAGCTGAGCTTATTGTTAGATACATAAAATTCGCAAAAATTTTTAATACTGGTCATGTCATCTTTGAGGTATTTTCAGCGTCAAAAAATATCAAAACTTGAGGTTGGCAAGGGAAAGGATCCCGTACGGGATTTACGAGATCCACATCCAGGAATTCTGTGTTTTAAACGTCAAACGGGATTATCGAAACCAATCCCGCGAATTTAATTATAAATAGAAATTAATACCTTGGCCTAAGTCGAATAATCAAAATTTGATTTATTAAAACAGCATCCTCATCTTTAAGTCGTTTAAGTGTATCACAATAAACTGTAGTTGTTTTACGTCTAATTATACGTGCACGTCTAATATTTTTGGACTGAAAAAATTAATAAAATTTCGATTAATGAATTTAAAAAAACAAACTAATGGACTTGGATGTATTTGTTGCATTTGTTTTGAAATAAGTGAAGTTTTTTGTGTTGTTTTCTTCTCCTTCTGATGACATTTATGTTGTTGTTGTTGTTTATTTAAAATAATGCCTGTAGTACTTGGAGAAGCAGATTTTGTGTAATGATGTGATTTTGAAGGTTTTTCTCGTTGAAAAATGAAAGCAGTCATTGCCTTCATATTTTTTCTGTAAAGAAAAAGCAAGACTTTAAATCAGTCAAAAAGTACAAAACTATTGATCTAGTAAACAAAAAAAATTTTTTTTATTAATTATTACTCATCGTCTCCCTTGCTGTTGATCCAAAAGATCACAACAACAAAAAAACAAAAAAAATAAATTCAAGTAAAATAAGAAATGTTTCCAAACATTTTTTTGTTCAAAAAAATTTTAAAAAATTTAAATAAAATTTTATCAAAGTCTTTTCTAGTCAAATTAAAAAAAAATCAATTTACGATTAAAATAATATAAATGCGAATTTTAAATGCAAAGTAGAGAGGAGGCGGCCAGTTTTCTATTAAACATTGTGTTAAATAAAAAACCGCTTCCTTCCCCTAATCATTAAAAAACTTTTTTCTATAAATAAAATTTATTATAAAATACTCTCAATTTTTAATCTTTCACTCTCCTTCCAGTCAGTCAGTTCTCAAAATTCTCTTCCCCAATCTCGCTCACCAACAATTGACGCTAAATTTGGCTCGCTCTCAACATCATCATCATTCTCTTCATCAGATGTAGAGGAGGAGGAAGATGAAAGAGAAGAACGACTCGTGTTAATCCTTTCATTGCGCGCGGAATTTGTGTTGTTATTGTGCACGAGATCAATGAACGGCTGAGCCTTAAAAAATGTGCGTGAATAACTAAAATACAAAAATAGTAAAAAAATAAATTGCTTCTAATTTTTAATCTTTAAAAATTAGAAAAGGGGAAATAAACAGGGTTGCGGGTCCGGTCCATAATATCGAGTCGGGTATCTAATTTTGGCACGAGAAAGACTCGGTCGGGCCGGCCCGATAAAATGAAGCCTGAAAAATGACTCGAACGTCCCCAACCCTAGAAATAAATAAAAAGACTTGTTTCAAAAGAAAATTACATTAGAAGTAGCAGCATATTCAATTTTTAAAACAATAGCTTCAACACTCGGAAAGTCTTGCCATTGAATTGGGCTCAAATCTACCCATAAAGTTGGTGCTGTCTTTTTGTATGGAACTTTTATTGAAGTACCCAGAATTGAAACTCTAGTCTAAAATAATAAAAAAAAGTAATTTAGAAAATTTTCCGGTATAAACCTTGTCAGTAATTTTAACCGAATCCAATTGAAAACGGCCCAAACGAGGAATACGAAGAACAAAAGCATAAATCACCTAAAAATTTGAAACAATTTTTAGAAATTCTAGTAAAAAGGTAAAAGTATACAGTGTTATGCATATGTTGTTGATTGTAAAGTCTGTGAGGATCCATACCTGAATTGTCCAAAACCTTGCTAGTGTACCTAAAAAATTTTTAAAAAAATTTCCAAAATTTCAAAAAAATAATCAAAACCAAATATACTCTCCATCACTTTGATGTATCCAAGGCTTACTTCCATATATCGCTTCTTGATTAATTCCAATCCATTGACCTAATTGTCTGAGACGTTCCTCAAAAATTGGGACGATTTGTCCGTGAGATGTTGGGCCAACGTTTAACAACAAATTCCCACCACAAGAAATTGTACGGGCAAGTTGTGTGATTAAATCATTTAAAGAATGGACATCTGAGGGCTGAGAAAATTGAAAAAAATTTTTAAAAATTATTATTAGACAAAACCTTCATATCTCGACGATATCCCCAAGAACTCTTATCCAACTAGAAAAAATTAAAGCATTAAAATTAAAAATATAAAAAATTACAGTCATGCAATTTTCCCATTTTCGTGGTTGCAAATGCCCAGGATCTTTAAAAATTGGTCAAGCAAATTTAATAAAAAACCAATAACCGTAATGATCAGCATAGGTCATAAAACCGCCATGATGTCCAGCCATTCCTTTTCCCCATCTGTCATTTACAGCAACAACATCTTTCACAGGACTACAAAATTAAATTTTTTAGTCGATAACGATTCCAGAATCAGAGTTAAAAATTGACCTTTTATTATAAAGCCAAGCTAGAAATTCTTTTGAATGCCAATATTCATCAGTTTGTTCCCAATCCTTCAAAAAGTTAATAGTAGCAAAAATAAAGTCAAAACTCTACCCCATCGCTCCAAATCACTTCAGGGTGGTAATTATTAACAATTTCCCATAATTGAGGAATCGAAACAGTCTAAAAATTTTTTAAAAGTAATCTAAAAATTTTTTAGCAAACCTTAGGAAATTCATAGCCCTTTGTCTCCTTATCTCTCAAATATAACGGATGGAACCAATCAAACATAGAAAAGTATAACCCAAAGTGAACACCTTTAGATCGGACGGCAACAGACAATTCGTTCACCAAATCGCGATGAGGACCAATCTAAAAATAATTTTTTAGTCGCGTTTTAATAGTTATACAAACATCAACAGAATTCCAATTCCAACTGGTTGAACTTGGCCACAGAGTAAAGCCTTCATGATGTTTAGAAGTCAACACAAAATACCTTTAAAATAAAAATTTAAAAAGGAAAAATTTATAAAAATAAACCGAGCTCCTGACGCTTTAATAATTTCAGCAAATTGTTGAGCATCAAAATCTTCGGCAGTGAACTACAAATGACAAATTATTGAGAAACGTTATTAAAATAATTACCATTTTAGCAAAATCAGCATATGTAGTGCCATTTGGAAAGTGATTTTCCATAAAACGTTGGTATGCTGGATCTTTTGTTCCTTTCCAGTAATACCAAAACTGAAATTTTATGAAGTTAATGAGAATATACAAAATTTAGAAGACACAAAAAACCCAAAAAAACTTCATAAAACAAAGAAAATAATTTCAAAAATATACCCATTCTGAGCCAAAAGCAGGCACTGAATAAACACCCCAATGCGAAAAGATTCCAAATTTTACATCGTCAAACCAAAGAGGTACAGGACGGGAATCAATCGAAGTCCAATCAGGCTGAAATAGAATTTTTTATTCTAAATATTTTTTAAAAAATTAAAAACCTTATAATCTGCACTAATAAAAGTAAAAAATAATAAAAAGGGGACCAAAATATTCAAAAGATAACGGTTCATTTTAAAAGGAGAAAAGTGGAATGAACATATGAAAATTAAATAATAATTTTTATAACAAAAAAATTTTTAATTAAAAAATAAAGAAAAGGTGGACCAATATTATTAAAAAGATAACGTTTTCATACATATGTTTGTTCCACTTTTTATTTTTAAGATTAAAAAAATGAAAAGTTTCTTTGTAGCATAAAGAAAAAAAATTTTTTGGAAAAATTTAAGGAAAAAATTTTTGAAATTTTTTTTTGAAAAATCTTTCATTTCTAAGATTCAAAAACAGAAAAGTGGAACGAACATATGAAAATTAATAATTTTTATAATAACAAAAATAAAAAAATATTACTTTAAAATTTACCTGTTATCAATAAACTGCTGAAAAGTCAAGAAAATATTAAAGAAAACAAGTGTAGAAGTAATTAATTGCACTTATCAGCAATAAAGACGCATTATCTTGTCGGTAGAAGTAATTAAAAGTTAAGCATTTAACCATCTTTTTTAATCTAAATGGAAAAAAGATAATAAATTAAGAGGAAAATAAAATAATAAAGACATGATTTCTAGAAAAGCTTGAAAAAATTTTAAAAAATTTTTTGACTCGAAAGAGTTAAGGATGTGATTAAAACTTGTTACTTAAACTAAAAAATAAAAGAAAATTTTTCAAAAATTAGAAAAAAACAGCCTGAAATCCCGGTAATCGCTTAAAATCTGGAATTTCTGGACGGGATTTCGTAAATCCCTAGTCGCGCTCTAATTACCAACGTTCTGACGTTATGCATTTTAATGATTGGGTAAAGCCCAAGTAGGCGCGCGTCCATAACGGCGCAAAACCATAACTTGCTCCAAGATTTCCGAATCTTAACAAATTTAGTATTAAACGATTCCTCTCATCGAGCTAAAGAGATTGGTACCAAAATTAATAAGGGTCTTAAATTTTTCAGCAAGTTATGGCTGTGCGCCGTTATGGCCGCGCGCCTACGTGTCCCGAAAGGTTGTCGACTTATTCGCGAATGTTTTGTTGCTTTTTCAGAACGTTTTTTCTTCAGAAAAAGTCGACATGTCGTTACTGTTGTTCGGTTTCTCGTTTTACTTTTTCCCTTTCATTCGTTTATTTTTATTGAAAAAATTTATAATTTTAGGTTAAATTCATTAAGCAAATTTTTTAAATCAAAATGCACTTAAAATAAGAATTTTAATTCAAAATATTGCTGACTGGATACAAACAACTCATGCCACCAGATTTGATTAATTCTCCACAAAAGAAGGCTTTAACAAATTCAAATGCGGCAACTAATAATAAGAATTCTCAGACACTGACTGACAAAAATGGAATTTTACCTAAAACGAAGGCTTCAAATAAGGTTTTTGATTTTTTGGGTTAAGTAAAGCTGAAATTAGCTAGCTATTTTTTAAAATAATGCAATAGGTTATATAGGCATCTTCATTTGACTGAGTTTCTGTGGTATCCTTTACACTAGTGATCGAGAACTTTGAAAAGCCTGGGCTCCGGGTTTGATTTATTGACCTGGGCAGGATCCTGGACCTGTAGTCCAGGAAAAACCCAGGCCCAGGAAAAACCTAGGGAGGTCAAAAAATGCCTGGACTCTGGGTGAATAAAAATTTAAAAATTTGTTTTAAAAATAGGCTGACAGGAACAATACTTCTCCCGGAAAGAAAATTGGTATAAAAATAAAAGAAGAAATGTTGGAGGTCAACAACTTTGCAAAAAATGTTTCTTCAAAAAAACAACAACAAAATTTGCCTCAAAAAGAATCTTTGGTTCAGGAAACAACGAAAAAAATAACCAAGAAACGCAAATTAATAAATATCAAGGAAGAAAATGATAGCAGTTTAAATCATTCCCCCAATATTAATAATGCTGCTGCTAATGAGTTTAATCCGTTGGATAATATTCTCAATGAAATTGATGCTTTTGATACTTCAAATAAACCAAAAACCAAGAAGAAACGGGAAAAGTTGATTAAAATAGGTTAGAAAATTTTTTACTTTTTTTTTTGCGGAGAGGTCCTGGAACTATCGGATTTAAGCTAAAAGTTTCGGAGTCTCCTTAATAAGAAGTCTGTGGCTCATGTCAGGTCAAAAAAGTTCTGGTTCGGATCAGGTCACTATCAGTAGATTTTACGAGGGGCATCAGGAGAGAAATAAAAAGAAGAAAAAATCGGTCGCGTTTTCGAAAAATTTCTCGGTTCGGGTTTCTTGTCGAAAATAAAAGTCAGGGCATCCTGCCATATTAGAAAAAGATCCATGCATACATGAATCTTTTTTTAAGTCTTGGAAATCAACAAATATTCTTTTAAATCTTCCCAATTTTATTTTAAGAATCTACAAGCGATGTCGAATCAGGAAATGCACCCTGTTCTAGTCAACAACTACCACCACCTGTTACTCCATTTCCGTCTTCTGTTACTAATAGGCCTCTAAATAGAATTGAACTGGCAAGGCAGGAACATGATAATAGTATGGTCCAAACTTTTTTACATAAAGATGATCTAATGGAAAGAATTTTGGCTTATAAAATGTTAAGAGGAAAAGTTGAATCTTATTTAACGATGAAGGCAAAAATTGATCTTAATACTTGTATTACGCCTGAATATGAGGTTTGTTTATTTTCCTTAAAAACCTTTCCGGAAACATTTAAATTTTCCTTAAGACCCTATTGCATTCTGCCAAGGGAGCAGCTCGAGCTACCAATCCCCTTCCTCTACCTTTTCTTGAATAAGGGAATATCTCGAAATGAAGAGCCATGTCGCTTTTTTTATTTTCCTGGTTCCTACCTTTAAATTAAATGAAACCGATTTCACTCAAAACAATGGTGTCTCTAGGTGTCTCAATAACGCAAAAAAGTTTTTTGGTCATAGTTCGAGCTGTTGCCTTTTTGGGACTTAAATTACACCAATTCAGAACCCCAAACAATTTCCTTTAAACAAATTTTTTAGATCAGGCCAGATTTAGTGGAACCAGTTTCTGATCGTTTACATCCAAAATTGGAAACATTAATTAAACAAGAACAAACTGAAGCAAAAAAAGAAGAGGAAGAAAATCCTCCTCTTCCGCCTCCCTTTCCTCCTCCACCTTTATTCGATTCTTCATCATCTTTTATTCCTCCACCGCCTCCTTCTTTAATTCCTTCTGAAGCTGCTATTTCACAGGTTTTGTCTTAAAAATTTTTTAGACTAAAATTAACCTTCTTTAGGCTTTACACGGTCCAATGACCCCACCAGGTTCTCCTGGAACTAATCAAAGTTCTTTATCTGCTACTGGAAATAACCACCAACAACAAAAGAATCATCAACAGGAGATGTTTCCATGTACTTCTGATACTTTAATGACTAATGAAGAAATTGTTCCAACACCGAAACAGTCTAAATTGGAGGTATAATTTAAGGGTGAGGGGCATTTTTTGGTCCATTCCATTGTAAGGAGGAAGGGAGATTGAGGGTGTTGGTTGAAAGCAGCATCCGGTAGTTCACTACAGTCGGTATAGCACCTTTGTCAGTCGATAGAGGACTCCTAGCAGTAGCAGTCAGAAGGTCACAGGATCGATGCCTGCCCGAGGGTTTACCTTTTTACCCCGTCCACTCCAAATTTTTTGATGATTTGATTTGCCCTTGTATTTTTTTGTACCTTTCAATTTTTATTAGTTTTTTACTTTCCCCATTTTTTAAAGAAATCTGAATCAACAATAAAGAATTGTTCAACAAATGAAGAATTATTTAAAAAATTTGGTGCAATGCTTGGATTACCACAACATCAAATTTTAACATTTTTCGGTGTTGATTCGAAGAAATATGGTGATTTACAATTTGATGAATTATTGGCAACTTTTAGAGAATCTCTAACTAAACATTTAGAAGAGAAGGAGAAAAAGAAACTTGAAACTGGTGGAAAAAGGTTTTGATTTTGATTATAGTAAATATTTTAATAGAAGCCCCTCCCTAATAGAAACCCATCTCTAATTGAAGCCCACCCATAATAGACCCATTGAAATAGGAGCCCAGGGCTTTTATTAGAATAGTTTGATAGTGAGTATATTTAGCTAAAATCTTTTTTATTAAAGCCCAGCAGCATCTGGAAGTCATTTGGAACAATCACAGCCTCAACAACAATTTTTACAAGAACAACAAAATATATTAAATGTTTCAAACGAATTAGAAGCAGCAATGGAAATTAGCAGTACATCCTCTTCATCTTCTGGTGTTTTTCTACCCCCACCACCAGCTCCACCTCCAATGTTGTGTAGCACCAATAATTCATCATTTCCTTCAACAAGCAGAGAAGCTGTGGTGTGGAATGAAGGAAAAAGTCCTATTTTAATTTCGGGTATTTTTTTTGTAAATTTTGATGAATTTTGAAAATTTTATAAATTTAGAAACATCAATTAGTCCACAGCAGCAGCAGCAAATTAAATCACCACCAACTTTATTTCCACAAAGTCAACATCAACTTGTTTTTACTAGGCCACCGCCGCCTATACCCACAACAATAATAAGAGGTTAGTAAAAAATCTAAGGCTCTAGTTTAGTTTGTGAGTCCAATAGAAGAATGAGCATTGAACTCTAGACTAATACCTAAAATTTTACAATAACAAAAATTTTTTTAGCTCCTCTTCTACCCCCATCACAGCATCACCAACTACCACCACCTATAACAACACAACAGCAATTTCTTTATCCTCCTCCTCAAGTTGAAAATATAAGCAGAAGTCAAGGTTTAGCTTCAGATCTTTTACTTAAATTTTAAAATCCAAAAAAAATTTTTTTTGAATAGAATCATCAACTATTCCACAACAACAACAAAAAAGGCCGCCTTCTCTTTTTTCACAAGTTCCACTTTGTTTTTCCACACCTCCGCCTCCTTTTATACCCACAACAACAACAACAATGGTAACATCATTTACAGCTCCACCTCCTAGACTTCCACAACAACTACGCCAAAGATTACCACCACCGCCATCACAACTACAACAACATTTTCTACATCCCCCTCCGCGTCCCCCATTAACTTCTAAAGATGCTGAAAGTCCAAATTTAACTCCAGGTTTTTTAAAAATATTTTTTTTGCCTTTTTTAATTTCAATCCCTTTTTTTAAGATTCAATAATTATCCCTCGACATAAACACAAAAAGCTGCCTTCCCTCTTCTCTCAATGTCAACTTGTTTTTCCTAGGCCACCCCCTCCTATACTTACATCACTAACAACGACACCACCTCCCCAGCTTCCATTGAACCTACAACAACAACTTCATCATTCTTCTAATTTATCTTCTAGAGATCCAACAGAAAATGAAGTAAAAAGTCGAATTTTAAGTTCAGGTTATTTTTTCATATTTTTAAAGGTTATAACCAAAATTTATTTTAGAACCGATTACTCCCCAGCAGCAAAGATTACCGCCTCCACCACCCTTCCCACAACAAGTTCCTCTTGTTTTTACTACACCACCACCATCACTTGTACCACCTACAACAGCAACACCTCGTGTTGCTTCTCCTCAAATTCCACCACCATCAGCCCTACTTCAACACCAACAACCTCCACAACCACAACAGCAATATGTTGCTCCAACACCAATGCCAAGTCAAAATGATATACTCAAAACTGTGGTACAAGCAATTAATGTTGGAAAAACTAAAGAGGTTAAGTGTTGTATGTCACCCGAAGGAGATGATCCAGCAGCAACAACAACAGTGGATAACAAAAGTAAACCCTATGGAAAATTTTTCTAAAATTAATATACTAATTTACGCTAACTTCTTATTTTTAATATATTGAAGGCCTTTCCTATTTTTCTAAATTTTGTATTTTTTCATATTTTTTACGAGTATTTTTCATCTGTATTATTGGGCAAGGAAATTTAAAAATTTTTGGGAGGATGTTCAAATTTTTTTTTCTTATTTTTGAGACCTTGCCCAACGAAAATTTCTTTTACATCAAAATGTATATTAATCGCTCTTTCTAATTTTGGAGTGGAAAATCTTTTTATTTAATTTCTTATTTTTAAGTTTAATTTGTTTTGTTTTTTCACATGCAGCCCTTACTATTAATCTTATAATTCAAAAAAGTATATTGATTGTGCTATTTTTTATATTTAGCCACTTTTTAAATAAATTCTTGTCAATAAATCTTATCTTATTGTTAGAAATATTTTTATAGGTATCAGGGATGTCATCGAGTCTGGGTTTCAAAATTTTCTTAGAGCGGGTTTTAGGTCGAAAAAAGTCCGGGTCACCTATTGGAGAAAATCAGTCGAGTTAAAAATTTCTGGAATCGGGGTTCGAGTCGAATAATAGCCCGGATAACCGTGAAATTCCTAGGTATAGGTCTTATCTTAAAAATAATGAATCTCAATATCTTAAAATTTTTTTATAACAACAGACTTTTTACCAACAATTTAAAAATTTTTAAACAGTCACACATGTTCTTTTTGGGACAATAATTTCAAAAATAAACTCACAATAACGACTATAATTTAATGAATTAACAAAATTTTACGGGGCACATCGTCCAATAAAACGTGGATATAAACAAACATCTCTTATATGGTGTTGATTAGCTAACCAGCAAACAAACCGTTCCAATCCAAGTCCATAACCTCCATGTGGACACCCTCCATACTTTCTCTGGTCTACATACCAATAATAGTGTTTAGGGTCAATATTAGTTCTTTTAAAAGCTTCTAAAAGTTCTTCCTCTTTCCAAATCCTCATTGAACCGCCAACAACTTCCCCAACTCCAGGCATTAATAAATCTACAGATTCTGTCAAATCCTTTTTTTCTTCTTCATCTTCACAACGAGAAATGTAAAAGGCTTTAATCCCAGCTGGGAAACGATTCAGCAATATTGGCTTTAAAAAATATTTTTTTGAACTTAAAAAAATTAAAAAAAAACCTGGCCAATTGTATCAGTCATTTGTCGTTCAGGACCCTCTGGAATGTCTTCTCCAAACTCAAACGGCTTCCCTTCTTCGTTATTTACATTATTTTTGCGCAGCCATTCAATTGCATCAGCATAAGTCATTCGAAGAAAGGGACGTTTTAATGAAGGAAATTTTTCCTGAAATTTGATTCAAATTGTTTAAGGATATTTTGGTAATCATTTAGCTTACTGATCCCTGTAAAAATACGAGGAAGTGCTGTTTCGATATTTTTAGGTTTGTCAGTAGGCAATCGAGTTGCCGAGTCCAATATCAATTCATATTTTTTATTCTGAATCACGGACTAAATTCGACCAGGTCGAATTTGGAGGTCTCTCAGGAGACTTATCTAATTGGCAAACCTCAAAAATAACGAAGAAGCATTTCTTCCTCTTTTTTCAACAAAACCAGTATACTACTTAAATGAATAACTTTAAAAAAAACCTTTGACGTTTCCCATCGTTGCAATATCAATTCAGAAATTTCAGGATCGCTAAAAACCCTGTCAACAACATCAGAAACAAGATCCTCAATTTTATTCATTAATTCTAAAAAATAAAAAAAAGCTTAAAGAAATTTTCTAAAAATTTAATAAAACCTTCAAAAGTAATAAATGGGCATTCTGCCTCAACATGAGAGTATTCAGCCAAATGACGCCTCGTTCGAGATTTTTCCGCTCTATAAGACTGCGCTATACAATAACAATCCCCCAAAGAAGAAATGCATGTTTCGAGATAAAGCTGCGATGATTGAGTTAAATAAGCTGGTTCACCAAAAAAGTCCAAGGAAAAAAGTGTGGAGCCTCCCTCAACCTTAAATTTGGTATTTAAAGTCTAAAAAGAATCCTTAATAAACCTGCGTTTGAACAAGTGTTGGAGGGCATACTTCGACATATTTACGCGAATGAAAATGTTCTCTAACTGCACGCGTTACGGCCGCTCGTATTCGAAGAATTGCTGAACAATTTTCTCCTCTAATGCACAAATGACGATTGTCCAGTTTAACATCGGGGTTTGCCTCAACGTTTAACACATTGTCAATCCCACCGGGCGGCGCTCCATGAATTAAAGTCCAAAAATCAGCGACGAGTTCTACACCACCAGGGGCCGTCTTTCCTTCAGGGAGTTTGTTTATCTAATTTTTTAAGATAAAATTAAAGAGAAAAGAAGCAAACCGTTCCGTATATACAAATAGAGCTTTCCGTGCTCAATGTTAAAGCTTCATAAGTTTGGCAAAGTAATCCACTCAAAACACATTGCAAAAAGCCAGTTCCGTCTCGAAGAACAACAAAAATCAAGTCCTTTCCTATAAAAATGGAATGATTTTTAGATAATCCCTTTATACCCCAAAACTAGTGGGCCATTGTATCGCTTTTTCCACCCTCTATAGTTTCCCCGCTTCGTTCATGGATGCGATACCGAGGTAAAACCATTTACTATATTTTATGGTTTAATGGATTTAAGATGCCCTGGCATGGTGATTCCGTCTCCCAAAAAAGATCCGTTTCGTAGAATAATAAAATGAGGGCCCAGAGTAAGATTCGAACCCGGACCCTCCGAATATCAAAATTAAAGGGAACCCAAAATCCTTTTAAAACAAACTTTGTTGTCGACAGCGATGAACAAAACCAAAAATTTGAACTCTTTGTCCACACATTGTAGAACAATCACGTATCTTCACTTTAATTGGAGCAGGAAGTGAAGAATCGAGTTTGATTTGTATTTTCTTCGCATCTTCCAAACGCTTCTTGTCATCCACAATTTGAGAAGCTTCCTTTTCCACAGCTGCCAACTTTTTCTCACGTTTTCTTCGTTCTTCATCCAATCGACCGGTAGCTTTTTTCAATGCAGATTTTGACGGTTTATCCCACTGTTTTGCCTCGCCTTCTTTTATTGCAGAAACAAGAAAATCACCTTCTGAGGTCCCAGCCAATTGCATTGCTCGAAACAAACTTTTCAAAGGTTTAAGCTCGCTTCCATCTCCACTGTCGTCGTCGCCGTTGGTGTTGCAAATATAAAATTTTTGTTTCTCCATAATTAGGTTAAATCCAATTTTTGAAATAATTATTCAAGCTGAAAAGCATTAGAAAATGTGTAAAATAAATTTTAAAAAATATTAAAAATATATTTTATATATTTTTATAAAATACAAAATTCAAAAGAAAAAAATAATTTTTTAAAGATTTATTGAATAAATCTTTAAAAAATTTTATTCGTTAAAAAATATTAAATTTTTTGTTAGTGCTTGAAAAGTATTAAAAAATAAAGCAGAGCACTAAATAGTGAACGACATAACGACGCCCAAAAGGGCGCGAGCAGAGATGTTTCGAAACAAAAAAATCTTCGAAAATCGGAAATCGAAAATCGAAAAAAATCCAAAAACATCGAAATCGAAAATCGAAAATATTTTTCAAAATCTTCGAAATCGAAAATCGAAAATCGAAAGAAAAATAACCTCGAAAATCGAAAATCGAAAAACGAAAATCGAAAAAAAATTTTTTAATAAAAAAAATAAAAAAATAAATTTTTATGTTACAAGTTGGAACTTTTGCTTGAACTCTAAGGAATTTGGGATTCCAAGGAAATCACGGATATCCAAACCCAAAATTTTGCATATCAGATTGAGATCCTGGCTCCAGAGCCGGTGATTTTCTAGCGGCTTCTTGTTATCTCCAGACTCCGAGTGTAAAGATTAATATTTAATCCTGAGATCTGTGTGGGTTAAGAGGGATAACGGAGGATTTGAGTAAACTCATAAGGTGGTACCTGGCATAGGGTTCCGGCAAGGGGCCTGCTCTCTCCAACTTGCCTGCTCCATCCATCTGGCCTGATCCCTCCAAATGGCCTGCTCCCTCCAATCCCACCTTAATTCAAGCAAATACTCCAATATACCGGAGCCGAAGCATAATATTGTTAATAGATCAGGGTTTCCTCCAATTAGCGCCGCAGGCGAAAATTTTGAGAATTTTGAAAGGCTAAGAACCAAAAATCTTTCTTTTTTGCGCCGGAGGCGAAAATTTTGATGATCCTTAAGGCAAAAATCTTTATTTTTCAGCGCCGCAGGCAAAAATTTTGAGAATTTTGGAAGGCCAAGAAGCCAAAAATCTTCCTTTTTCTGCGCCGCAGGCGAAAATTTTTTTAAGTTTATGATGGCCAATAAGCCAAAAATCCTCCACTTTGGCGCCAAAAATTCAAATTTTTCAAAAATTCGGAAATCGAAAATCGAAAATATCACAAAATTTCGAAAATCGGAAATCGAAAATCGAAAGGAAAAAAACCTCGAAAATCGAAAAACGAAAATCGAAAATCGAAATTTCGAAACATCTCTGGGCGCGAGATCATAATGGCGCAAAATCATAACCTGCTTCAAGATCTTCCTTATCAAATTTAGTATTAAACGATTCCTCTCATCGAGCCGAAGAGATGGGTAACAAAACTGATAAGGGCCAAAAATTTTCCAACAAATTATGGCTTTGCGCCATTGTGGCCGCGCGCTATTTTGGGAAAAATATTAATTATTTTGGAAATGTTAATTACATATTAAAAGTATTAATTCAGGTTTTAACCTGTTAAAAATGATGAAAAAAAGTTGCAATAGAAGGAAATAAATTTTATAAAATAAAAAATAATTTAATTGAAAATAATTAAAATTTTTAAAAAATTTTTCAATTTATCAGCAATAAAATTCAAAAAAAGAATATTTTAAAATTATCTACTCCAAATCATTGCAATAATTGTTGTAGAATAATTCCCCCATCAAATAATTCTCCCAAATACCCCAAATAATAATTTTCATTGTCCCTCTCCTACACCGTGACATAATCTTCAAGTGCCGTCCTTTCATTAAGCGAGTTAAAAAAAGATGAAAAAGAAATTCTGCCTAAATTCAAATTTTTCTTCTTATATCAAAAGTAAACCCTCAATTAATTACTCTTAGGCGAAATATAATTTTGTGAGAAAAAATTTAAATTTATTTGTGTATTTCACCGGAAATGGGTGTCTATTTTTTATTATAAAAAAATTAGGTAAACTCATTTAATATTTTTTAAATTACTTATGTATACATCAATATTATTATAACTTAAATATAATCTCCGTAAGCTTTTTAGCGATGGGCTGATTGGATAGTGTGTTAGGTTAGTACCGCTGGTCATATTTTTTTAATTTTCAAAATAACCAAAATTATGCGAAAAAAAGGAAAAACATGTGAATAGTTTAATCACAAGCTCTTTTATCCCTTTAATCCCTCGATATACTCTGAATCCTCCAATTTAAATTTTTTTCAAGCACAAAATGCCCAACACCCCGCATTGTCTTAATTTGTATTTTTGTTTAATTTAACTTAAAAAATAGATAATAAACGGAAGTGCCTTTCACCCTTTCCTCTTTTTTTCTTCAAAGAGAAATTTTAAAAACCCCTTTCCTTTTCATGAGGAAATAAGATTGTTTCTTTTTAATACATACTTCCCCATTTTTGGGATAAAAATTAAATGTGATTGGCGTCCCTTTTCCCGGAAATGCCATCCTTATTATTAGCTACATTTATACTTTTCTAAATTATTGAATACCTCAAATTCTTGTCTTTTTTAATAATTTTAACATATAAAAAAATATTTTTACATTCATTTACCCTCCCTCGATTAATTCTCTAGCGAGAAATCGGAACAATAAGTGCCCACTTATTCAATATCTTAATAATTTTTTAACAGATAAAAAACAAAAAATTAAAATTATTCAATGGCACATTTTGAAAAATCATTAAAAAGTGGAAAATATTTTTTAATTTATAATAATATTGAATATTACTACCAAAGAACAGCTAAATTAATTCCCCGAGTTTTTTGGGAATGTAAAAAGTTTAAAAAATTAAAATGTCATGGTACCGTTTATACGCTCGACAAAGAAGAAGGAACGGAAGTGTTTCCGTGGAGGGAACACAATGCTGCTTGCATGGTTAAAAAATTTTAAAATTACTAAAGTATTTTCTCCCTCCTTCAAATAAATACCCCCTCCCTATTAACCTTCTGTCAGAGATTGAGAAATATTCACTCTCTTAAAAATAGTTAAAATTAGACTTTCTAAAATAACCACAAATAATTAATTCCAATTTTAATTACCCTCTCAGACGAGAGATTGAAACAATAATTACCCCTGGGAAAATATTTAAACAATTACAATTAAATATTAAAAAGAGATTAAAACAAAAGGCAAAATTTTTTTAATTTTTAAATAAACTTAGGCGCTTCGTTTGGGTAGATTGGAGGTTGGTGAAGAGGAGGAAATTGAAGTAAAATTTTTAAAAAATTTAAAATATTATAAAAATACTAAAATGTGCTTAACTATCCTCCCTAAGCTGTGTAAAAAATTATTTCGACGGCTGGGATCGAACCAAGATCTTAACTGTTGATCGGACGGATGTGTTACCCACTACACCACGCCGCTTTTTTAAGGCAAAGAAATAAAAAATGATAAAGCTTTATGAATAAAAATTCCACATTTAAACAAAAATTTCTGGGATGGATTTTCTTAGGAAATTTTCAATTTTGCTTTTGCGAATTTGTAATATGGAAAATATAAAAATTATAATAATAAATAAATATAGCAGGGGGAATTGCCCGAAATTGCTGTTGTGGAAAATGAGGTGGAAAATGAAGTTGGAGATGAGTTTGTTGGAGTGGAAGGTGAAGAAGAGGTTGGAGAAGAGGTTGGAAATGAGGAAGAAAATGAGGTTGGTGTTGTTGGAGAAGAGGTTGGAGAAGTTGGTGGGAATGAGGAAAATGAGGCTGGAAATGTGGAGAATGAGGTGGAGTTAAATTAAATGAATTTTAAAAAATTGAAAATTAAAAAATAATAATTTTTAAACAATAATACAATAGCTATTACTGAAGACATTTTTTGGTGTAAATTTTCTTCGGATTTTCATAACAGTCAAAAACAGTCAAAAAATATAACACATAAAGCGAATTTACTAATCTATAGCTATTTTTTCCTTAAATTAATGCAAAGATTATTTAGGCGTCTGGGATCGAACCAGAAGCTTCAAAGTTGACAGGACTGATGTGTTATCCACTACACCACCCCCACTTCTAAATAACCTTAAGAATTAAATAGCTATATGCTTTACAATAAAGAAAAAATGGGAATATAAAAATATTGCCCTCCCTCAAATAATTACCCCAACCTCTATTAATTACCCCAACCTCTATTAATTACCCCAACCTCTATTACCAAACAATAATTACCTCGAATTAAATTACAGGTAGTTAGAAATGAGCTGGAGGTTTTGAGGGAGAGAAATGTGGAATTGGAAGGAAGAGATGTTGATTTGAGATTGAGGATTGTAGATTTGGAGATGAGAATTGTTGAACTAGAAATGGAGTTGGATTTGAGAGATGAGAGGGTAAATAAATTAAAATGTTGAATTAAAAAATATTTTTCTAATTAAAGATTGAAGGGTTGAATTTAGAATTGAATGAGCGTGTATTGGAGATAATGCGCGCAGATCCGCATTATTATCGTTAGGTTCGTGTCCGGACAAAATATCGAATCGTTAAAATATGGAATAGGCTAAAAAAGGGTTAAAATCTCGAATCGGGTAAAAATGGGTTAAAATCGCGAATAGGCTAAAAAGGGGTTAAAATGTGGAATCGTTAAAATATGGAATGGTTAAAATATCGAATCGGGTAAAAAAGGGTTAAAATATGGAATCGTTAAAATATCGAATTGATAAAATGTCGACACGGTCAAAATGGGTCAAAATGTCGAATTTTTTTAAAAATGGCGCCAAAACCTAAAATCCGGGCGTTACCGTAATACCGACGGTATTTTTCGGTATTCCGTGTCGGTAGTACGATATGGAATGCCGACCGATAAAATTTAAAAGCTGACCGTTATTTTTCGATATTCCGTACCGTATACGGTAAGGTACAAAATTTAGGTCTTAATTAAAAACTAGTGACGCCACTCTAATTTTTCCGTATCAGGATCCTGTTGTGTTTTCCGGATCCGTACGATCATGCCGGACCGGATCCGGTCGATTATGCTTGATTTATACGGTCCGATTTTACTCGGTAAAATACAGTGAACTCAGGCAGAAAAGATTACGCCGGACTATGACATACGAGACTTATCAATCAAATTATCAAAAATAAGTTGATAAATTTATCAACAATCAATGTATGGCACTCATCTGACCCTTTTTTAAAAGAATTCGACATTTTGACCCATTTTGGCCGTGTCGACATTTTAACCATTCCATATTTTAACGATTCCATATTTTAACCCTTTTTTACCCGATTCGATATTTTAACGATTCCATATTTTAACCCTTTTTTACCCGATTCGATATTTTAACGATTCCATATTTTAACGATTCGGTATTTTAACCCCTTTTTAGCCTATTCGCGATTTTAACCATTCCATATTTTAACGATTCCATATTTTGTACCGGAGCCCGTTAGGTTCCCCATTTCTCTTCCCCCCTCTTTTCTTCTATTTTTATTTTTCCGGCTCCCTTCCCTCTTCTCTTTTCCGGCCTCTTCTTCTTTTATCCGTTTTTTTCTTCTTTTTTTTTCCGGTCTCCTTTCTTTTATCCTTCCCCTTCTTTTTTCCGGTCTCCAGCCTCTTCTTCTTTTATCCGTTTCTTCTTCTTTTTTCCGGTCTCTTTTCTTTCTTTTCTTTTTACCCATTCTTCTTTTTTCTTTCTTCCAGTCTCTTTTTTCCGGTTCTTTTATTCCCTTCTTCTTCCTCTTCTTTTTATCATTTCCTTCTTCCTCATTCTCTTCTCCAATTTTTCTTCATTTTTCGGCCATCCACTCCAGCCCACCTCAAATCCACTCTTCCTGTACTTATCATTTTTAGACTATTTTTAATGCTTAAGTATAACTTTAATTTTTTTTATTTTCCTGTTGCTTTTTAGATCCTTAATTTTCAAAATTTTATTTTATATTTTCCAAAAAATTTTTTTCCTGTTCACCTATATTTAGACTAGTTATTTTAATTTTACAAATATTTTTTTGCCGTTTAGTGATTTTTTTGTCGAAAAATTTTTTTTGAAAATTAAAGAAAATTTTGAAATTTGACAATAATAGGGAAAGAAAAATCACTAAATAGAGCCTTTAATTTTTTACAAATTTTTTTATTGTTGTAAAACACTCCAAACATTAATGCCATAAGACTGGATTTATTGGAAAAAAATTTTTTTTGACTTGAGTGGAAAAATTTTTATGGCAATGATGTTAAGAGTGAATGAAATATTTCTAAAAATTTTTTACAAATAAAATTTAAAAAATACATTTTTACTTTTTTGGTAAAAAATATGGGAAGGAAAGAAGGGATTGAATTTTAAAAAATACATTTTTAAAATTAAAAAAAATGAAGAGGGTACAAATATTTCTGACAGATAAATATGTAGTAGCTTGAGCAACAGAAAAATAAAAACGGAAAAGTACAGGCATAAAAATAAAAAAAATATTTTTGAAAAAAAGGATATGAAAAAAGGATTTGAAAAAAGAATTTCCAAAAAAATTCACACCAGAAAGAATTTTAGAAAAATTTTTCCTGAATGATTGATTAACGCAGTTAAGTGAATGTGAGAAAATTTTCCAAAAAAAAATTTCAAAAAGAAATTTTTCCAAAATAATACCATATTAACAAAAAAATTAGGGGGTATCTCTACTATTTGTCCACGTGCAAAATCGTAAAAAGAAAAATTTACAGCTGAATAGGGATGCTTAGCGAGTATTTTTTGGCGAGTGGGCCCAACAGGTAGTCACATTCACTTAACTGCGCCAATCAATCATATTCTTGGTGCAAAATCGTTATCAACAGTGAGCACATTTTACAAAAATTGCCTTATGATTTTTCTTTTATTAATTATCAGGTGCTGCAATTAAACGACGTTAAAACCCCTAAACTTTTTCTTTTCTATAATTGCAAATTCCTAAAAAAAATTAATTTTTTTAAAATAAATCACTCTTCCTATCAGATTTCACGGAGTTGAGGATGGTCGATTTCGGGTCGAATAAAAGGCAGTATTGAGTCGAGCCAGCAACGGGGTTTTGAGAGGGGTTTCGTCAGGCCTGGTTTTCGAAAAAAAATTTTTTGTCCCAATTTTTGTCCGCGATTGGAAATGTGGAAGTCTACGAGACTAACAATAAGAGAGATATCAGGAGGAAAAAGACGGGTTTCGGAAGGTTAATAGGGGCCGTCATTAGGAAAAGTCTGGCCGAGTTTTCGAAAATTACTCGGTTTTCGGGTCGAAAAGGCATTTCGGCTTACCCTTAACATCCACTCTTTATATCCTTTATTATTTTTTACTAGTTCAAAAAAGAACAAAAATATACACACAAAAAATCAAAATTGAGGCATATGAAAAAAGGGTTAAAATTGGAATAAATGGGTTTTTTTGGTATAAATCTCTCTAAAAAAATTTTTTTATAAATTATCACCAGGATTTCTTTGCATATTTTTAAATAAGTTACCAACAATCGTCTTCGTTTTCTTCTTCCAAATTTTTCTCCAAATTTTCTTCCTCTTCCTCGTCAACCTCATCCCAAATAGTTCTTTCTTCAATTCGTGGAGGTAATGAAGAAACTGGAAATAAAACTTGAAGTTGTTTGAAATTGAGTGGTTGTAATGTAGTAAGCTCGATATGATTTGAAGGACCAGCAACATTGTTGTAGTTGTTTTGTGACTCGGGTTCAATTGAAGTTGAGGTATTTGCTGATATCTGGAAAAAATTTTAGATTATTTAAATGCCTGTTCTATTCGTCCGCAATTTTTATCCGCAAATGTCTGTCCGCAATTTTTATCCGCAACTGGAAATGTGGAAATCTACGTGTCTGACATTTTGTTTGCCTGAGCTTTATCAATCTTCGAAAATCTTTTAACCTTTGTGAGAGAAAAAAGGGGAAAGGCAAGATATAAATTTGCGGACATGTGGAGGTATAATGCGGAGTGCCCAAATTCCTCAAGTTATACCCTCCTTATCTTCCTATAAATCTAAAAAACCTGCTTACGTTTTCTGGACTTTCAATTTCTTCAAAAATATTGCGCTGCTTGACGTCTTGATTAATAAATGTGTTGAAAAATTGAGTCATTTCTTCAAGTTTTTTGTATGCCAAATTCTTTTCTTCTTTTAAAATGTTATTTTCTTCCTCCAAAATTCTCATTTTTTCCTCCCAACTTTTCCTTGCTTCCTCCCAAGTTTTCTTTTCTTCTTCCAAATTTTTATTTTTTAGTTCAAGTTTTTCAGAATACGAACTTAAAGCGTTCCAAGCCGCGTAAATGTAGTCAAGACGATCGAGACAATATTTTTTAAATTTGGTTAAGTTGTTACAATTCTCCATGTTAGTACAGTTAATCCTAAAAACAGATAAAAAATGAGGGTACAGCCCAGGTAGGCGCGCGACCATAACGGCGCAAAGCCATAACTCGCTGAAAATTTTCTGGCCCTTGACAATTTTGGTACCAATCTCTCTAGCTCGATGAGAGGAATCGTTTAATACTAAATTTGTTAAGACTCGACAATCTTGAAGCAAGCTATGGCTTTGCGCCATTATGGCCGCGCGCCTACTTGGGGTTGTCCCAAAAAATGATAAGTAAATGATTAAATTGATAAGAAAACAATTAAGTAAAGATAAAGGATAAAAAATGACTGGATTAACGATTTAAATATCGGACTTTTTTAATTTTATGTACATAATGTCTAAATTCGTTGACAGACATTTAGTCCAAACGACATTTTGCCCACACGACATTTTGTCCAAACGACATTTTGCCAACTAGAGCAAAATCGGCCAGTTGGTCTGACGGCTGGCAGAAAAAAGCTGTTTACAATAACAGGTTGTTTGTTTTGAATTTTTTTACAAGAAAAAATTTAGTCCTGTTTTTGCTGCACAAAGAATATAGAGGAAAAGACGGGGAACTAAATCTTCCTGCAAAAAATTTTTTTAGATAAGAAAAAAAATTTTAATTTTGAGAGAGGGAAGCACACAAACATTCTTTCTTCCTCAACATTTTTCATATGCTTCCCCTTTTTTTTTTAATTTTCTTTCGTTGAAATAAATTGAATGACGAATGGG